GATGTTGATATGGTGAGCCCACTAGGGAGCCCCCACCCTTACCTATGTCAGTAATGAAGGCTGGGTTGGCTGTGAGGGGTACTGAGATGTTGATATGGTGAGCCCACTAGGGAGCCCCCACCCTTACCTATGTCAGTAATGAAGGCTGGGTTTGCTGTGAGGGGTACTGGGATGTTGATATGGTGAGCCCACTAGGGAGCCCCCAACCATACCTATGTCAGTAATGAAGGCTGGGGTAGCTGTGAGGGGTACTGGGATGTTGATGTGGTGAGCCCACTAGGGAGTCCCCACCCTTACCTATGTCAGTAATGAAGGCTGGGGTAGCCGTGAGAGGTACTGGGATGTTGATGTGGGTCTTCTCTGTGTGTAGACACATTTCTTGGTGCTTCACAAATGATGTCACAGCTGTACCCTGACTTGGCTTTCGTCGACATTCCTCAGATATCTGCTCCTCATTCTGAAGTGTTACTGAAAACTGAAAATTACAGACAGATATTGCAGAACTGAAGGCACAGGACATTATTATATATAATGCCAAACCTAACAAACAATTCTGTTAGTAGAATGTTTTACCCAATTAATTTTGTACTTTTTTTTCTTTGGTCAATTTTCGATTAAGATATACAATATAGCAATCAATACAACTCAAGGAACATATAATTGTAAATCAGACAAGGCAGTTCATTATCAAATATACTGTTCATACTACACTCCATATTGTTTCCAATAAAGCATCAATACACTTAAAAATATTCAAATCATGACAAGCAGATGAAGCTGATCGTACCTGAACACAGGAGACCGTCCCATCAGTAAAGTCAAAAGCTCCCACAATATCCTCGCCTAATTTGTAGGCTTGTTTGAATAAAATGAACTTTGCCACTTTTCCTTTGGCATTAGTTATATTGTATGAATCTGAAAATATATATGGTAGTAAGCTATAGAGTGCAAATCGTGCTTGATTTGCTGTGAAACCAGATATTTTGGAGGGGGCCCAAATTTCGTGGTTTCCCAACAAATCACCATTTCGAAGGGGACATGAATTCATGGAGTATGAGTACCCTGTCAAATGGGGATTGGCTTTATATCAAACTTGTAATTGATTAGTGATTTCACAGTATCAGGTAATATAACTTAATGTTTTATTATGAGAACTAGGGACAATGTGCGTGCTAGTCAACTGCCTCCCCACATATGGCTAGAGGGTTGGAGGGCATACTTACCCTCCTCCACCAGTAAATTATTTTGGGTACCTTTAGTGTATGAAAAAAAGTGATTTATAGCATCTAGGTTCAACTCTTAATTGATTGAGAGGTCACAATTGTCGAGTGTAGCAGTAATTATCAGTCCTGTGTAAATATTCTCAATTCAGGTATTGATATATAGTTGGCTACATATAATACAGATTTCAAGCCTCTGTGAGAGCTCAATGCTTCATCAGCATGCTAATTTTAGTACACATCTAACAATATTACCTATATAATAATTATATAATTAAAACTATGCTAGTAGTAGTATGTCTGTAGTAGATTGTGATCATCTTTGAGGATCTATAGGTGGTGGGATTTGTGATCACACTTGATCTGAGAACTCCAATGAGGAGAACATTTGTACTTCCAACCTTGTAATGCACTATTTTTAGAAAATAGTGTTATTATTCTGCACTAGTATTTTTAGAATTATGACACTATTATTCTGCACTAATGTGTTTGACTATTTTTAGAATGGTGACGTTATTTTTGTCTGCCCTACAAACTTACGTGGAGACTTTCTGGCAGTTATAGTAGCCAGAACCTGCAGCGCAATATCTAGAAGTGAGTTCTCTGTCTGTTGTGGCTTCAGGAAAGGGTTGGACGGAGTTACTTCTTCACCCTCTGTGTACACACTGATGTCATTCAGCCCTGTGATATACAAAAGACCCATACTCAGCTACAAATGTAGGTACAAACATCTATTATGGTTGCAAAACCAACTGCCATCTTACTATTACATAAATTTAAGTTTCTGTGATGAACTTATTACAGGCAGGTGGTACAACATGTATTTGTATACAAGTGGAAATATCAAACAGGTGATATTGTATATATATGTACCAGGAAACTTTCAACCAGTCAAACTTGTGTCCTAAATTTCTGTGTGCACCAAGTGTTTATTTTGCCCTTAATCCTTTCACCACTGTAGACCATAATGGACTCATCCAGATCAATGCATGGTAGAGTCTACTAAAGTTACATAGGATTGAAAGGGCTAACTTTTGATTACTATGTTTAATATATTGTTTACTGGTGTTCGGTCTAAGGATAGATTGACCCTAATCAAAAAAGATGAAAGGTAAGCTGCGTTAAAACTTTCCCAGTATATAGCAGTTTAAACAGGTGAATTCTAAAACAAGTACAGGTATTACATCATCTTGGTTTACTAATTACCATGAAGCACAAGGACTCTGAAAGGAATTCGCAGCAGCTTGGTTGGGTGGTCAAACTTCTGGGTACCAATGGTCAGCTTATATGAGTATTTAACAGCTTGACCCCTATAAGAGGGAGGGGCATCTGAAGGAATTGTGTCCTCGAAAGTATCTGTGAATAAAAAATAAGTCATCTCCCAGAACTTGATCAATGGTACATTTACTCCAGGTGAATATTAACAAATTTCTGACAATTTCATGCTTTACAACTTTTCCAGCATTACCAATGAAACAGTGTGAACTTTCATGGGTTATTTTACTTTGCATTACAGCTCAATATTCATTCACAAATTACACATGTCCTAAATGTAGTTATCTTTGTAACATTGATTTTTTGTTTATATCGTCACATGACTACACCTTCTCTGCATTGATGGGAGATATATTGTCATTCAGTTAACTTGCTGAATGTAAATGAAGTGGTCTCTGACAGCAGTAGTCTCCAGGTGTGTTTTTTTGTATATATTTAATCATCATAACAAAATGACATCATTGGCAGATTATCATGGCACAGTACACAACATCGTCGGATATCCACGGTTGATTTCGCTTCGGCACTCACTACTCATCAGTGAGTGCCGAAGCGAAATCAACCGTGGATATCTGACGATGAGTACACAAACACAATTGATTTTCATTTACATCTGTTTGTTAATGGACTTCTTTAGAAAGATATGAAATATTTTCCCTGCATATTCAACTACTACTATCTTTAAACTATGAAATATCACTGAAAACTGTCCTTATCTATTTTTATTTGATGTACGTATTACTTACTTGCCAAATGTATAGTCCAGCATCCAGTGTACATGTTTGGCCAAAATGACCACAAATTATCTTGGTGCAAAATGACAGTAACTTAATATCTTCAAAGAATCGTTAGTTTATATGTACATTGTTTGTACATAAAGTAACATTTTGATATATATAGACAGTTCATATATGCTTTTAAGCCTTTCACCACTGTTATCCAAAATGGTCTCATCCAGATCAATGCATGGTAGAGTCTTACTAAAGTTACGTATGGGTGAAAGGGTTAACTTCAAATTGTATTGAAAACATTGGCAGATTTTCATATGTTATAGAACTTAATTAATGGTACTTGTTAATAAAAAGTCAAATGAATTTGATACATATGGTAAACCCATCAAAACAATGGTAAAGTGGGGAAGGGGCATTGGGTTTAGACAGATCATACTTACATGATTTTGATTCTCCGGCTGCTAGTCTGAGATCACAAAATAATATCCGAGGCGTTGACGCCAGCACGGTCAATCCCCTCTCACCTGTATAATCACAATACATTATAGTCATACAGCTGTTTAATCGGTAGTGATGGATGGATATTGTCAAAGATCTGTCAAGTAATTCTAGAGAAATGACAATTTTTGAACTGCTTAAAATCCAAGATGGCCACCTTGCAGCCTCTTGTTTTTCCAATCAAAATCTCAAAACAAAACATGCATAACTAAGAACCATGGGGAATCTACACATGAAAGGACTGGGGACATTAAAGGTCACTTTTCGCCTCATCAGAGATTGTGAATTAGTTGCTATGTTCGTAATCTGGAACAAATGAAGTATATGCAAATACGAAATTTAAAATTCATTCGACAACTGGTTTAGGAGAAATGGCATTACAAGGAGAGACAAAAACCCGCAATTTCATAAGAAATCATGTGAATATCGTCTGTTAGGCGCTATTTGGTTGAAAATAGGCTATTTTAAAGGAAATAAACAAAACACTCTTCATTTTTTGAAAGCCTTAGCAAGCAACAAACAAAAAAATATTTCACATGCTAAATCATCGTAATACTAATGTTCATTCGCAGAGAGGATTTTTTGTTTGTCACATGCGGATGCTTGCATTTCTGCATGTTAACTGTCCAAAAACACCATATTTTTGCTTGTTCTGCACAGCAACGCAATTTCGTTGCTATGGTAGGGCATCTACGCATGCACATTGGAAAAATCTGCATCAATAATGATAGCCCCAATTAACCAATATGATGCTTATAACAGAAATTGGTAAATAATTTCAAGTTAATTTTTTTTTAAATTTATGAGGCCAAAAATGACCCATAACGCCCCAATCCTTTGAATAAAGATCCAGTAATTCTTAATAAATAAGAATAACAAATTTTAAATGTCAAAATCAAAGATGGCCACCTCACATCTTATAATGATCAGACTCACAATGAAAACATGCACAACTAAGGACCAAGGGGAACCTATATATCAAATTTGGCAGCCTGGTAGCCATGTTGTTCTTCTGATCAGCCTCAAAATGAAACAATGCACAAATATGAACCAAACAAAAATCATCTATGAAAATCTCAGAATAAGCCTTCCAATACTTCTTGAGGAATAGCAATAATAAGAACTGTTAAAGGACTGATGGATGTCAGACAAAAGACCAACAACACAGATTCAATAGCCCAATATTTACTGATGGTGTGCTAGTTAAAAAGATGTGAAACAAAATGATGATTGTCACCTTTGCTTGGTACGAAGGAGGTATCACAGCCCGTGGTGGATACCTCTTCGGTGGACATCCGCTCCGACCGTATCAGATGGACCCTGGTCTCGCTGACCGAGCATTGACAGTGGATCTGGACACTGGCCCATGCCAAACACTCACTCCCATTTCTATAAATAAACCATAACACAGAAGACTTCTTTAAAATCTTTATATCTATGATTGTTTTAGTACATGTGATGTATACAGATGTATATGTATGCAGTAAAATAAATTTCAATACATGGAACTGTCAAGTTTTATTAAAGTAGAACTGAAATTACTACATTGTAGATATGATAGACTGTCTCAGAAGGAAAAATTCAAGTGTCATCATTTTGTTTCACGAATTGGATTCTATTTATTTTCGGCTATAACATGGTTTTATCTCTTTTGTTATACTGTTCACCTCCATCAAAATATTCCTTTCAGTTTAGAATTTGAAAAGCACCATAAAAATTATATAAATTATTTCATATAGCTTTTAATCACCATAGAAACTTTTTTCATTTCTTTTCTATGTACACAACTTTCAAATTCTATTTTTTTCTTTAACTAAAAGTATTAACTGTTACACTGAGGCTGAAATACGTAGATGTGTGTACAGCAAAGACTTACTGTGTTTCTTCATGAGCTGCTACATTTGTGAAGGTTATGACACATTTGACAATCTCTCCAGCTAAGTAGACCGACCCCCGGGGTAAAATGGCAGACACCTCAATCATTGTTCTGTCTTCTACTCCATTTTACTTCTAGCTTTTCTGCAAAATGAGAGAAAAATTCAAATACTATGCCAACCATTTACATTTTATACCGTATAAGAAATAAACCAGCTGTTATTCAATTTGACCTTCACTAGGAAAATCCACATTTGCCACATTGGCTGAACCTGAAATAAAACGCCAGGCACTGATCGGGACCAAGGCTCACCTCTGTAAAACTTGGCATAAGCATATACTGGTAGGAGGGTCCAGTTTTGCCTGGCAAAACTAAAATATTAACTATTGCTAGTATTTTTAATTATCACATAAAACAAGGTCAATTCTGTGTCACATATTATGATATATAATTTTGAAAATGCTATAAAGTTTAGTATACAGTTGAAAGAAGCAGAGACACTGCTTGGTTTATTGTTTCTATTTGACAGAAAACAGTATGTGTTCCTATCTGCCTGCTAGGTGGTCCCAAATGCCTTTGTTTATCACAGAATATTTCTGTGTCACATATGGACTGTATCAACTTGGATATGTAAAAGCAGCTGATAAACATTCTAAAAATGCAAAATAATGTATCTATCCGTGTCTTTCCTGCAATGTTGCATTGTCCCCATAATCTTGGACAAGTTGTAGATCTGATAGTTATAATAATAATAACTTTATTTAAAGAGTATCACTCTTAAGGATCATACCTATCTTCCAAAAGGTCCTCTACATACGTACATATATATATAACAATGTAGTCAGACTCAGAAAAACATCAACAGGTATACATGCACAATATAACAATACTATAGAATATCAAATATTTATAACAAAATCTCAAGAAAGTATTTCTTATAAAAAGGGAAATATTAACAGCAATATTTACGTATATATTAACTTTTTAAAAGTTTCAGAGTCTTTGATAATTTTATTTCTGCAGGTAGTGTGTCCCATATCATTACTCTCGAATATTGGAATTGGAATAGTTCGGAGTGGGGACGACATATATTTTTATATATAATATAAATATATTATTTGCAGTTGATGATTGAGAATTGTGTTCATGATGGGTCGTTTGACAAAACTCGAACATCCTTGTGAGATAGTTTGGAGTGAGGTTATTTAATGTTTTATATATTATTTTGGTGTAACAGGCATAATGTCAAGTTCTTGGAACATTTCCTTAGAAGAATCAAGAATAACATGAGCAATGCATTTTTGTGTTCATGTGGGTTTTTTTGTTTCTTACATTTTAGTATATTAGTGAAGCCGATTTTAATTGTGGGTTCCTTCTTTGATCCCCCTGGGGAAGAACACTATTCTCTTTCCTGTTACAAATGGTGTCTGTAGCGGCTGTCACTAGAATAGTGTCACTGTGTGGCAGGTTTTAATGCTATGTTTCTATGCAACACCTGTTTCTGCGCCCTGAACTTTTGTGAATTGCTGCAAAAACCTCCTAAGATTGTTATGTCATACATGATTTAGTAGTGAAAGTAAACACTTAATCTATATGGGCGGATTGGTCGAGTGGTTAACACTTCGTAGTACAACAGTCCTCCGTCGTTACAATATGACGATTTAATGTATGTTTGTGTGGATAAATATTGTAAATAATACAAAATTCCTTTAAATAAACAAGTAAACAGGTAAACAATGCACCTGTCAAACACTAACAGGCGAAGGTTTTCATCAAACTGCCAGAAGCAATGTTACAGTTATTTATCAAATTATGTATTTAATCCGTATGGAACGAAGAGCATATACAGATGCATTTTCGACAAGTCACGACATATGAATTCATAAAGGGTACATGGATTTATCATTGCCTTGTTTACACTTACAAATCAACAACAATATGAGATATCAACAGCTGTCGTGTTTCCTTTCCGAAGACTTTTTGTGATACAGATGACAAAACGCAAATCAGACCTAGAGGATCACTGTAAAATTAGAATGAACGGCTGAAATTATTTCCGGAATAAATAGCTTTTATAACAAGACGTAAAGCCCCGACAATCAATAAGTCAAGCAATCGATATGGGATCCATCACTCGTACAAAAATCAAATAATTTCGAGAACATCTGAACATTTTGTTTTCTTCTTATTTCAAGGGATCAAATAATTTTAATTGACTAAACCTGCGCTGAGGCAAATGGATATTGCAGGTTTAGTAAGATTGGCTGAGCCAGATTAAAGCAAAGTATGTCTTATGACATTATATAGTGGCAGTGACACTAAACTCTACAATAATGGGTTTTTTTTATACCACGATTAAATCAGCTTTCAATTAGACTGTATAGCTATAGTGCATCCATTTATACTGGTGGACCCCCACTTTACAGGTATTAAAATAAAATATCTTGGAATGTACGTTATTTTCTTCACAATCAATATAAGAATAAAGATGTCACGAGTCTTTTAAGCAGTCAGAACATTTTGAGACAACACTGCTTTGTAACGAAGTGGCCTAGGGATGGAACCCCTATGGCGGAAGTATTTTTTGTGTGAAAAGTGGGGTATATGTTTCACGCATAACATTTTCCATCATAGCATCCTCGATATCCAGGGGTTACGCTCACTTTCGCTCTCTGTACCCCTGGAATATGCCATAGCAAAATTGAATACTCAGTGTGCCCCACCTTGCTGATGAGACAAAAAGACTAGTTCGATCCTTTGATGTACATCAAAGGATCGAACTAGTCTTTTTGTCTCATCAGCAAGGTGGGGCACACTGAGTCTTCAATTTTGCTATGACATATATTCCAGGGGTGTAGAGAGCGAAAGTAAGCGTAAACCCTGGATGAACAAGAAACTCCAATTCAGAACAAGAACTGTTGGAGAACAGCAATGTTTGCCTATTCAAAAACATAGATAAGTCCAAACAGTAAAGCTACACACACAAAATACACGGATTCCGCTTAATTGCTTTTTATTTTCCAATTTGCCTGTTCCTGCTTCGACCATCAACAATTTACTTGAAAATCACAGAAAAATACAAAGAGGCCCTAGGGTCCTTAAGATGTTCACCTGATTTTCCTTTCATACATGAAAATGTTGTACATATATCATTATCTCTTGAAAATCTTTTGGTTCTAATAGGAATTCATTAAAGTATTTTAATAAATTATACCTCTTAAAACTTTAAAATGATTTTCGTAAACTCACACTCTATGTCAGCCATCCTCGATACTCCAGGGGTTACGCTCTCTACACCCCTAAAACACAGGTACTAGCCTCGTTTGCCAATACACCTATGCTATAATCAAGGTTGCTAACTTCGACCCCCTAGTAAAATGACCCAGTTCCAGAAAATATGCGATTTTGTCATAACCGTTCATAGTATAACGCCGGGAGCAGTTTAGATCGACAGGAAAATTAGCAACCTTGATTATATTATAGGTGTATTGACAGGCGAGGCTAGTACATGTGCCTGGAAATGTCACAGCAAAATTGAAGGCACGTGGCTAGCTGTTTGATTGGTGTCAGGTAAAATATCCTGACCAATCACTAGGCTGATGTTTGTTTTTTGAAGATTACAGAGAAGGACGTCCGACTTTAAAGCCAGAACGTTTTACCGTTACCGTTAGTCTTCTCGTCTCGTCCACAATGCGCTGCACACTGAGTCTTCGATTTTGCTATGACATATTCCAGGGGTGCAGAGAGCGAAAGTGGGCGTAACCCTTGATATCGAGGATGTATGCCAGCAAGCTACACATTCATGGTTATAAATGACTTTGACCCCTACACGAATATAGGCCAAGGCTACCTTCTAAGGCAACTATTAAGCTGCAAGCAAACTGTCATTACACTAGACATTTTGGTTATCCAGAAGAAGTCGTTTGAGGTTATTGACCAATTTTGCGGCATTGGCTCTAAGATTTCAGGTCGTTTGTTTGGTCAAATTCGTAGCCTTCCGGTCAATCATCACGATGCCAGAACTTTTGGATCCAATCGGGAATCGTCGGCACTTTCCGTATACGAGAAAATAACGAGAAGTATTTTCTCGTTTACGGAAAGTGCCGACGGTTCCCGATTGCTTTTGGATCCTCAGAAGTCATTTGAGTTTATTAATAAATTTGATTCCAGTGACATAGAGTATGGATCAGCATAATCTCCATCTACAAACTGAGGCACGCATTGTCAGGAAACTTGAAACTTGAAATACTTGATCTTGACTTTTCGGTTTTTCAGTAGAATTCGCATGAGTGATTTAACAATGTTGGTCCATATGTGAATTGAATATTGTTCATGGTCATTTCCCCTTCAATTTGTAGCACTTGATATCGATGAGCTACAGACCAAAACATTTCATGATTCTAGATTTTTTGCTTTTCAGTGGTCTGTTTTGACCTCTGACCTTGACAATCTGTAAAGATAGTTTCTTTTCCCAAACTTTGCAGCACTCCATGGCAGTGAGCTACAGACCAAATACCATCGCTTTAAACCTTTCAGTTGTTCATGGAAGTTGTTTAACAAATTCGAATTCGACCCCAGTGCCGACCTTGAATATAGGTCAAGCTTTTTTATTTATTTATATATATATATTTGCAAACCAGCCCATCATGACTGCAAGCAGCTTTTACAATGTATATATACGACTCTAGACATTTTCGATTTTCAGTAGAAGTCCTTTTAAGTGTTTTAACAAATTTGACCCATATTGACCTTTAATACAAGTCAGTGCTATTTTTATCGCACTCTTTGTAGCACTGCCTGTCAGATATATTTTAACGTACCCATGCAGCGACTGAAAGTCTAACAATATCAATATTAATAGTAGTTGCGTGCCCCTGTGTTCAGAAAGCTACATGTAGTATTGCACGACTAGATCTTTTGCTTCAGCAAAATAGTAAGTGTTTCAACAAATTTGATTCATCTCCGACCTTGAATTATAAGCAAAGATATTTTTATCGCAAATTTGTAGCACCTACAGCCAGCAATTTACAGACCAAATATAACGACTTTAGATACTTTCTTTTATCTCAGGAGAGGTCGTATGAGAGTATTTTTCTTGTGCCCTTGAATATAGGCCAAGGTATTTTTTTCCCCAAAAACTTATAGTGTTTATTGCCAGCAAGTTACTGGCCGAATGTCATCACTCCAGGCGCATTTCCAGTCTCCGGAAGGAGACATCGGAGTGTATTAAAGTGCAAATAGTTCACAATGCCCCCTAACGGCCCTGTTTTAGTTTACGTACAGATTTTGTTTTTCTTTACAATCTTTGTGGAGCATGTAACTATGATCGAGTGCCATAATGTAAGTAACGAATATCATAAAAAAGAAAACTACCGATTTGTAGAAGCTTCCGGCATTAGGTGTCCCAAAATATACCCTTTCGCCCCTTAAAAACCTATAACCCCTTTCCGTTGCAAATCTTATTCCAAAATCACCATAGGAATACTTCCTAAAAAATTTGGCTGAAATCTGTCATGTGGTGATTGAGAAGAAACCAGGGAAAACCATTTGCATCTTGATTGTACGGGAGGTGAAACTGCAATCACATTTTAAAGCGACCTACTCAATTCATCGGCCACAGACAACAATGGACCACAATTTTATTGTCCGTCGTGCTATATGTATGAAAACTCACTGTTAACTCACCGTTGTCGACGGCATACCATTAGTCTACGACTACTATTCGTGTACCATATTTCACTACGTCCTGTTGATGATCCCTCAGTCGTGTACCAAATTTCTCTACGTCCTGTTGATGTTCCCTCAGTCGTGTACCATATTTCACTACGTCCTTTTGATGATCCCTCAGTCGTGTACCAAATTTCACTACGTCCTTTTGATGATCCCTCAGTCGTGTACCAAATTTCCATTGTGTTACTGGTACACACTCCCGGTCTGTACCTCCCGCTCTGTAGCATGCGGGGCTGAAAAATATGGTTATCATCTTCAGCAATTAGTCGTTGACAGAATTAAAGTGGATCTCTGGTAATGATTACACAGGCAGCAGAGTGTCCAATCACTTTTAGTTGAAAAAATATAGGAATATAGGATTTTTTTCTTCAAAATATAGGAAATTTAATTTATAAGAATTATGCTAAAGATATAGGTAACTTATAGAATTTTCTATATATTTGAGTTTAAATTCTACATAACGTTATATGCAGTGGTATGCATTATCGTCATAGAACACCATCCTCATCGTCGGAAGTCCACGTTCGATTTGACTAGGATGAGGGTACCCAAAATGATATACTTTTATATTAATATTTGAAATGAAACAAAACATGCCCTTACCCTTCATTTTCTGTATTTCTTGGGCATCAACAGCGCGTGTGTCTATTCATAGAGCTCATTAAAGAGAGTCAGATTCACTTGAAATTTTAGCTGGTCGAGTACCCAAAATGGAACACTTCACATGTCAAATACTTGTAAGTCAGCTTATGAAAATAATTGACGACATTTAAAATAATTTTTAACTTTACATTTCAAAAAAGTTTTGACAATTTCTGAAATTTATTCCCTAAAACATTTTTTTGAACATTCTATGTTTCTATGTATAAAAATATGATAGGATAAAAATATTTCAATTGAGTTAATGAACAATATTTAAGAGGTAGGCAGATGAAATTTGCTCAAAATGCATAAAACTATATAAATTTTGATTGAGAATACAAACCGTTCATTTTTATTGCAAAATAAAAAATGCTGCATATTATAATTTATATGATTACTGAAAAGTGTTCCATTTCTGGGTACCGTTCCATTTGGATACCCTCATCCTAGCGTTTATCAACCGTTGGCGATTTTGCAAAGAAATCTTCGTTGTTACTGTGAAAATTGATTTTTTTTGAAAAAGAATGCATATTGAGATATTCATATGAATATGATAAAAAAGAATGTTTTAGCACGAAACAAATCATATGGGTATGCTATCTTATTGTGTGAATTCATTCATAAGTAGGC